TGTGAGGTCAGTTGGAGCTGAACGTGAATTGGAGGAGGGGAGGAGGAGGAGGAGGAGGAGGATGAGGAGGAAGAGGAAGGCCGTCACACGTGTCACCTTTGGTCTTCACTATTTGAGGAGGCCTCACGGAACTCGTTTGGGCCGGCTTGGGGTTGTCTCGGCCTCCTGTGATGCAGTCTTGGGGGTCCCTTTGGGCTCCCTTTCGGCCATCTTGGGGCTCTCTTGCGCCGTCTTGAGGCCATCTTGGCCGTGTAGCGGGTGCCAGGGGGCCGTCGTGGGGTATTGTCGGCGCCTCTTTGGGCCGTCGAAGGGCCTTACAAGGTCGTTTTGGGTCTCGCGGGAGACCCGCTTGGGCCGTCTTGGGGCCGTCTTGGATGCCTCTTGGGCTATCATGGAGCTCCCCCCCCCGTGGCGGTGTGCTCGCGTGGCAGCGCTGCGCCCACTTCGGCACACCCCTCTCACTCGGGTCGCGACCACTGGGGGAGCTCCACCTCTGGAGCCAGTGGATCGGAGGAGGAGCAGGTACTCCGGATTCCATAATAAAGTGAGGGGGGTCACATTTGGGGGGGCTCTGATTTGAGCTGTCTTGGAGGGTTCGGGGGGGTCTGGGCAAAGGGCCGCCCTTTCATGGATGGTCTGGGACGGTCTAAAACTTCTCGTCTGGGGTTGAGACCCCCTCTCTTTTATTACGAAATCTGGGGTACCCATACCTCTACCCTTCGCCCGTTTCCCCCTTTTTGAGCCTCCTGGGGAGCCCTCGTCGCCACCGCTGGATTCGCCTCGAAGTCCTGGTCAGAACGCACCCCGGGAGAGGTCCGGGGAGTAGCGGTATCAGTACCTTTTGGTTTCCCCAGTTGAGGTGCTCGCACGGCGGCGCCGCGCCGATTTCGGCTGCCCCCCCGCGTGGATCGTGCCCCCACCGTGAGCTCCACCAGCGCCCTCAGTGGAGGTGTTTGCATGGTGGCACCGCGCCCGTTTGGGCACATCCCCCATGCGGATCGTGCCCCACAGGGTTCCCACCTGTGGCCCAATGGAGGTGCTGGCATGGCGGCGTCGTGCCGATTTCGGCTCACCCCTCGCGTGGATCGTGCCCCGACCGGGAGCTCCACCAGTGCCCTCGGCGGCGGTGCTCGCACGGCGCCACTTCGCCCGTTTTGGTACCGCCCCCCCGCGGATCGTACCCCGTAGGGTTCCCCACCAGCGGTCCAGTGGAGGTGCTGGCATGGCGGCGTCGTGCTGATTTCGGCTCAACCCTCGCGTGGATCGTGCCCTCATTAGAAAACGTCCTCAGTGGAGGTGCTAGCATGAAGGCACTGCGCCCATTCCGGCGCACCTCCCACTCAGCCTGGTGGGGATTCCAGCTGTGAGACCAGTGCAGGTGGTTGCATGGCGGCGCCGCGCCCGCTTCGGCTCACCGCGCACTCGGATCGTGCGACGTAGTGCAGCTTCGCCCGCGGCTGCAGTGGAGGTGCTCTCACGGCGCCGCCGCGCCCTCTTCAGCGCTCTCGCCATATGGATCGTACCTCGGATGGGGTCGGAGCGCTTACCGAAACCAGCCCAATATAGTCGATTCTTTTTTCTATGTCCTCAGTACACCTCCAGTGCAAGCGCTGATTGGGAATATCCGCTAGGCCTCCTCGGTGCAAACACTGATTGGGGAACAAACTTTCTAAAACGTGCTGCCCCTCGTCCCTCTCCCCTCCCTTCCTCCCTCCCTCCCTCCCTCTCCCCCTCCCTCCCTCCTTCACCCCTCGTCGTCGTCGTCGGCGTCGTCGTCGTCGTCGTCCTCGTCGTCGTCGTCCTCGTCCATTCTGCCTCTCCTCGCCGCTCCCGCCAGGCGATGCGCGCGGTAGGCCACGGGGAGACGTCTGTGGAAGAGAACAACGGAAAGTGTGACGCAGGTGGGGCCCACTCCTCTCTTCTCCCTCTTCCATCCTCCCTCCTTCGCTTCTCATCCCCTCTTCTGCGCTCCGTAGCCATTTTGGTTTACGTCATTTGGCTCTCCGCGACAGCACATGGATACCGCTGATCCGCGACAGCTAATCACATTCGATCAGTCTGCCATGACCCGAGCTGAAGACTGGTTCCCCTCAGCACCCAGAATCCGTCAAGCTCATTGTGCCAACGCAGGGGAAGCTCGTCCCTCACTCCGATCGACCGCCTTGGGTGCGTCGTAAGCCGTGGGTCTGGCAGGGATAAGAATGATGTGGAGGTGCAGCCCGTTCGGATACAGCAAGAACCTTCAACAATGGGCCTGATGCAATCGTTGCCTGTCATCGAGGATGAAGGACGCGCCAGACTCCGTCGAGCCCAGGGATCCGAACGGTCGCTGGGCTAAGAATCCAGCTGCCTGCAGCAGGTCCCGCCACCGTGCCAGCCCAGCATTCAGGGCTGCGACTGTGTAAGGGTGGGGGAGCCGTGATGAATGATGATGATGATGATGATGATGATGATGATGATGATGATGATGATGATGATGATGATGATGATGATGATGATGATGATGATGATGATGCTGATGATGATGATGATTATGATGCTGATGCTGATGATGATGATGATGATGCTGATGCTGCTGCTGCTGATGATGATGATGATGATGATGATGAAGCTGATGATGATGACGAAGACGATGGTAATGGCCATGGTGATGAGGATGAGGACGAGGAGGAGGATGAGGACGATGAGGAGGAGAATGATGCAGATGATGATGACGATGATGCTGCGGCTGATGATGCTGATCATGTTGTTGCTGCTGATGATGAAGATGATGATGCTGAACATGATGATTCAGATGCTGCTGCTGATGTTGATGTTGATGATTCAGAGATGATGATGCTGATGCTGATGCTGATGATTGTGGTGAGGATACTGCGGAGGATGAGGGTCGTGGTGGTGGTTGTGACGGTGATGATGCTGCTGCTGATGCTGCTGCTGCTGATGATGTTGCTGAGGATGACGATGCAGGTAAAGCACATTTTGGCGGTGATGCTGGTGTAGATGATGATGCTACATCTAATGCTGCTGCTGATGAAGATGCGGTTGCTGTTGATGACGACGATTATGATACTGCTGGTGAGGACTAATATGATGACGATGATGATGCTGCTGCTGATGGTGATGGTGATAATGATGATGATGATGGTGATGATGATGATGATGATGCTGATGATGAAAATTATGGTAATGGCGATGGTGATGAGGATGAGGACGAGGAGGAGGATGAGGATGATGAGGACAATAATGATGCCGATGATGAGGTTGATGATGATGATGATGATGCGGCTGATGATGCTGATGATATTGCTGCTGATGATGATGACGATGATGATGCTGAACATGATGATTCAGATGCTGCTGATGATGTTGATGTTGATGGTTCAGGGATGATGATGCTGATGCTGATGCCGATGATGGTGGTGAGGATACTGCGGAGGATGAGGGTCGTGGTGGTGACTGTGACTGTTATGATGCTGCTGCTGATGCTGCTGCTGCTGATGATGGATGATGCTGCTGAGGATGACGATGCGTGTAAAGCCCATTTTGGCGATGATGCTACATCTAATGCTGTTGCTGATGAAGATGCGGTTGCTGTTGACGACGACGATAATGATATTGCTGGTGAGGACCAATCTGACGACGACGATGATGATGCTGCTGATGGTGATGGTGATGGTGATGTCGACGATGCTGACGATGATGATGCTGATGATGATGATGATAATAATGATGATGACGACGATGATGATTTGGTTGTTGATTCTGCTGAAGATGATGCTGAGCGGTGATGGTGACGATGATGCTGGTGCTGTTGCCGCTGCTGATGCTGCTGGAGATGCTGCTGATGGTGATGATGATGATGATGATGATGATGACAATGGCGATCACGAGAACGATGGCGATTACGACGACGACTCCGCAGACAATAAAAACAATACTACTAATACAAATCGTAGGAATGAAGATGACGATGAAGCTGATGATGACGAGGATGATGATGCTGATGTTGGTGTTGATGCGGCTGTTCCTGACGATGATGATGGTGATGATGCTGATGATGATGACGACGATGATGCTGATGATGATGATTCTGATGCTGCTGCTGATGATGATTATGCTTATCATGCTGATGATTCTGATGATGCTGATGATCATGACGCTGATGCTGATGATGATGACGACGATGCTGATGCTGATGCTGATGCTGATGCTGTTGTTGTTGTTGTTGTTGTTCTTGTTCTTGTTGTTGTTGTTGTTGTTGTTGTTGTTGTTGATTGTGATAGTGATGATGCTGATGCTGATGGTTATACTGCAGCGGCTGTTGCTGCCGATTGTGGTCATGACGAGGAGGAGGAGGAGGAGAAGAAGGAGGAGGAGGAAGAGAATGAGGAGGAGGAGGAAGAGGAGGAGGAGGAGGAGGAGGAGGAGCAGGACCAGGACCAGGACCAGGAGCAGGAGGATGGGAAGGACCAGGAAGAGCAGCCGTCACATGTGACACCTTCCTTTCGTCCTCATTATTTTAGGAGCTCTCATGGAGCTCGTTCGGGCTGCCTTGTGGCTGTCTTGTCCCCCTGTGAGGCAGTCTTGGGGGTCCATTGGGGCCCTCTTGGGCCCTCTTGGGGCCCTCTTGGAGCTCTCTTTGACCTTCTTGGGGCCCTCTTGGCTGTATGGTGGGTGTCTGAGGGCCATCGTGGGGCCGTCTTCGGCAGTCGAAAGGCATTGTAAGGCAGTCTTGGGTCCCATAGGTCCTCTTGGGCCGTCTTGGGGCAGTCTTGGATATTTCTCGGGCCAAGTCGCAGTGCAGGTCCAGCGTAGCTTTCGGGATCTCTTCTCCTGGGGCGCGGGCCGCGCTTCGCCGCCCGTTCTCCCAGAACCGTGATGGCCATGGTACCTCGCGAGCAGCCTCCGACGTGGACTGCAGGGTGGCGCCGCGCACGCGCGCTCGCCAGCGCCTCGCGCGGCGACGCCACAGAGGCGGTGCGGCGCGCGCAGGCACCGAAATGGTCATTCCCGTCGACGGCCGCGTGCTGGCGCGACAGGCAGGATCTGCAGAGCAGCCTGTGGCGCAATGGCGTCAGGCCGACTTATGGGGCTGGCAAGGTGCGAGGGAAGGCAACGCTTCAAGCCGCCTAGTTCAGAAGCCCTCAAGCCTACAGGGCTACGGAGGATGACGACGATGACGATGGCGAGGACGATGGTGGTGGTGGCGATGATGCTGCTGATAATGATGATGATGGTGATGATGATGATGATGATGATGATGATGATGATGATGATGATGGTAATGGTGGTAGTGGTGGTGGTGGCGACGATGACGATGACGATGCTGCTGCTGATGATGATGATGATGATGATGATGCCGCTGATGATTACGATGCTGAGCATGATGTGCATCATTGTGGTGGTGGTGGTTCATGCTTCTGATAACGACAACCTTGGCGATGACGACGATGATGATGATGATAATGATGACGATGATGATGATGATGCTGATGATGATGATGATGATGATGATCATGATGCTGCTCATGCTGCTGCTGATGAAGATGACGATGACGATGATGATGATAATGAGATGGAGGAGGAGGAGTAGGAAGTTGAGTTTGACTTATCATGGCGATGGTGGTTACGAGGTCGCAGATGATGATTTATTTGTGGATCGTGATGCTTACGATGACGACGATGCTCACGACGATGATAAAAATGATTGCCGTGATGATACAGCTGATGATGCTGCTGATGATGACGATGCTTGCGGTGATGATGGTGGTGATGATGATTACGATGATGGTGATGGTTCTGGTGATGATGGTGATTGTGACGATGACGATACGGAGTGTGCTACTGCTGTTGCTGCTGATGATGATGATTATGATGATGATGATTGTGGTGGTGTTCAGGATGATGATGCTGATGACGACGACGATGATGGTAATGATAATGATGCTGATGATAAAGATGATGATGCCAATGATGATGAAGATTGATGATTATGATGTTGCTGATGCTGCTGCTGATGACGATGATGGTGATGATGGTGCTGCTGTTGATGATGAGGAAGGGTGGTGGTGATGCTGATGAGGATGATGCTGATGCTGATTTTGATGATGGTGGGTGGTGGTGGTGGTGGTGGTTATGATGATGATGATGATTATGCTGATGACGAGGATGATGAAGATGATGATGATGATGATGATGCTGATTGTGATGATGAGGCTGATACTAATGGAACTGATGCTGCTGCTGATGATGATGATGATGACGATGCTGATGCTGCTAGTGATGAGTATGCTGTTGCTGATGATGATGTTGCTGATGATGTGGATGCTGATGCTGATGATGATGCTGCTGACCACGATGCTGATGCTGATGCTGATGATGATGATGATGATGGCGATGATGACGACGATGATGATGATGCTGACGATGATGCCGATGCTGATGATGATGATGATGACGACGATCATGATGCTGATGATAACGACACTGATGATGCTGATGATGCTGATCATGATTATGATGATGAGGCTGGGGATGATGATGATGGTGATGCTGATGATGATGATGGTAATAATGGCGGTGCTGATGATACTGATGATGCTGATGATGATGATGATGAGGATGGTGATGCTGATGCTGATGTGGATGATGATGACGATGGTGGTGATTCTGATGATGATGCTGCTGATGATGATGATGCTTCTGCTTTTGGTGATGAGGATGATGATGCTGATGCTGATGCTCATGTTGATGACCATGTCGATGATGATAATGATGATGATGATGAGGATGATGATGATGCCGATGATGAGGATACTGATCATGGAGATACTGCTGATGATAATGATAATGACGATGATGCTGATGATGATGATGCTGATGATGATGATGATTGTGATGGTGATGGCGATGATGATGCTGATGCTGATGGTGCTGATGATGATGATGATGATGATGATGATGGCGATGGTTATGATGATGCTGACGACGATGCAGATGGTGATGCTGATCATGATCATGATGACGATGCTGTTGATGATGCTGCTGATGACAATTATGATGATAATGCTGCTGATAATGATGATGCTGCTGCTGATGCTGTTGATGCTGATGCTGCTGATGATGATGATGATGATGATGAGGATGATGATTATGATGATGATTGTGATGATGAGGCTGCGGATGGTGATACTGGTGCTGCTGATGACGATGATGACGATGCGGATGCTGATACTGATGATCAGGATGATGCTGCTGATGATGATGCTGCTGATGCTGATGAGGATGATGATGATGCTGCTGATGATGCTGACCCCGATGCTGATGCTGATGATGATGATGAAGGCGGTGGTGATGATGCAGATGATGATGATGATGGTGATGCTGATGATGATGAGGATGATGGTGGTGATGATGATGATGATGATGACGGTGCTGATGATGATGATGAGGAGGATGCTGATGCTGCTGCTCATGCTGATGATCATGATTATGATTATG